AGGCTTAGATGGTTCATCACAATTGAAATTGGTCATGTATTTATTGTTCACTGTAGAGTACCTATTCGAACACTGACTCATTCCACCACGAATTCCCTTTTCTATGAACATAAATATGTCAACATCTTGTACTGTATCTAATCGGCACTTTGTATATTTCAACATGCAGTCCCATGTATATCCAGGTAAGGTATAATAATGAGCAGGATCTAATTCGGATGTTGTATGGCACATGTCTCGGAAAATCTCAAGTAAAGGTCGAAGTATTCTCCTTATGTTTTTAACTGAAATGTTTTTCATACTTTCTGTGCATGCTTATAATCAGAATGCTTGATATGCTCATCGTTCAATTTACTGTAGAATGATTTTCTACTCGGTAGTTCAGTGTCTTGGAGTATTTCCAAATTATCTGAATAATCATTGAAAAAATTCCTTTACTACAATGCAAATCAAACTTCTCTTCTTCTAGACCACTCAACTCTTTTCTGAGGTTGATGAATTGTGTTTTTTCCAGAAAACGATACCAATTGATCCAATTCGAATGCCATGAAACGATATCAATCGACAAATCTAAATTTTATGTTAGATCTAGAATTATGTTGTGTGGAACTGATAAATTTTTCCTTATTTATTGGAAGTAGAGTAACCCGAGAGTGTTTTATCAAATCTCTTGAAATGGAATGGCTATCATATCCCGATAGGTTGTGGAAGAAAATGGGAACGGTATGAGAATTTGTGTATTTGAGGTTACATTTCGAATGACTGCATCCGCGGAATCTCCCTGTATAGTGGTCATGGTCGCGAACGATGTTATCCGATTCGATAAATGTTTTTTCACAAATGTGACATGTAGTTTTATTCAAAATTTTCCCAGCATCTTTGCTCATCGGTAAGTTCATACGCACTTTTGCCTCAATGAAGAGTGCTGAGTAATCTAACTCTTTCACGAACCACTTAATGCAGTCGGTACCTTGGTAACTTTCATAGAATGATAATCTGTCATCGAAAGTACACTTTACATAATATCCAACACTGAATGTTTCATGTTTCTGATACCAAGATTTTTTTTTTCCACATTGTTCATCTTGTAGTGGAATGAGCAGTGATTCAAAATCGCTGTAAACGACACAAGGGACTTTTTCTTTGTGACGGAAATTTTTGAACTCTTAAAATGTTTCCTCTGGGAAATCTAGTTTAGATTCATTAATTTTTGAACAATAAATATTATGAGCATCTAGTTTTTCTTGGTTTTTGAAGTGATTCAAACATGTATCACAAATGATTTTTTCACCATTCCTTCTTCCAATTTGGTAAGAAACTAATCGTGAATGGTTCTTCATCCAGCAAAAATGATACCCAACAGAATCCTCATCTTCGTTGATATGATCAAGTTATGACATTTCAATGTCACCATCTGAGTCCTCATCATTGAAATATTCTTTTTGAATCATCAGAAGATTGACATGCCTATTTAGAATCGTATTCTTAGTGATTCTCACAGGAACAGTGGAGAAATTTCCAAATCGATCGATTTCTAGAATGAATACATTGATTGATAGATTGTTCAGATTTTCGAATCTATTAATCTGATTCAGTCTCATTGGAATGTCAATTCCAGTCATATCCAAAACCTCATTGTAATAAGGATACGAATAGGTTCTATCAGAATGTTTATCTGCAGGATATAAACAAGACGTCACTGCCCAAGCGAAGCAAGCTTCATCTGAATTTTTAATGTTGATACAAGCATGCTTGCGAATAATTTGGTCAGGAAGTTTGATATAAGAAGTACCTCCATATCCCATTCCTACCTTATTGAAATCAACTTTCAAATTAATCATTTTATGCAGAGTCCATCCACTGTTCCGCTCTTGAAACTCATCCAATTCATTCAAAATGACATCCGATACATTTTCTTCATACCATCGCTTCAAATCCACTTCAGCATCAATAATGGAATTCCTAGCGTTTAGATATTTGTAATCGAATATGATTTCATCATTTTCATTGTTTTTCAGGAATTCTCCACAAAAACATGTGTTTATTTTCATGAAATGGAATCTTTTCAGCATCCTTTGTACTCTCGATTCGAATAAAAAAATGAGTCTTCCAAAAATTGTCTAACATCGATATGTTTCAAATGTATGATTACTGCTGAACGTATTCGTTTATTAAAAGCTGACTGAATATCTTTCCATCTGATTCTCTCATTTCTTCTTCCATCATTTCTGATACCACCACCGACAGATATCAATTTTCTGAATCGCTTCAAATGTCCAATGTTACTTTGGAGTTTTCTCAAAGATGATACATTCATGTCACCATCACGAACAGCTCTATTGAATAGTCTCAAATTTTTATTGTATAGTTCAAATCATCTTTCTCTGATAAGTATGCAGTACTATCTGAAATTTCTTCATGAGCCTTGAGAAATAATTTGATAATCTCATCGCTATGCTTCGCAATATCACATTGTTCCATGATACTTCACCTTCCAACAGTAAACTCAAAATGATACTCAATATGATGTTAATATATTTTCATTCACAATTTTTTTTTCCTTGTCGGGCAGACTTTGGACTATGCTGCAGAGTTTATAGACAATACAAATTTGTGCTACTGACAATTTTATCATAAGAATTATTTTTCAATGGGTTAGATGCCGTGGTGAAGAAGTTAGGTAGGTCTACAGATTTCTTACAAAAACAAAAATGTTTCTCACATTCGATGCAATACTGGGTGTTCATATTCACTAATTATTCAAAAACTCACATACGAGTCCTATTTATCCTTCACCAACTCGAATTGATAGGCAGCCTTTGCCTTGCCAAAGTCTTCCTGCCCATTGAGAACCAATGAGTATTTCTTTGATGTGAATTCAGATTCCCTTCCTTTCACCAAGTTAGTGACTCTTTGCGGTAGGAAAACAGCGGAGTCTTCCAATTCTACGAGAACACACTTTCCAAATCGTGTTTGGACCACTTTCGCCCCAATTATTGGTACCGGTGTATTCAGAGGTAGATCTGAAAGCTTCACGGCCTTCTTCCGGATCAACGATGCATGCTTCTTTGTTATTGGCTGTAAGATCCATCTGAAATTATAGTCCATTCGTCCATTCTTGACTTTCAGAATTTCAATCAGGAATTGTGATCAGAAATTTCATACTAAACGAATATCAAACTCACTCTTAGGCAGGATGTTTCACAACACTTTTTCACAATTCAACAACTTCACGAAAATATTTCATAATGGTCAACTATCCTCCGCTATCTCTTTCATACCAATATTCCCACTCATACCTCCCCACTTTCACTTGCTTACTCAATCATGAATAATGGCAAAATAAGATCATCAGTCAAAGTGACATCACTTGTTCACGAAGTTCATGGGTAAAGATGATATCATCAGCTTTCGATGTACAGGAAGGCGAATGAAATGTGTTCATGAATTCCTAATTTTATTATTGAACACTTGCAATCAAACAATTTCAGATGACCAAACACCTAAAACATTCTAAGAATTGTGAGAATTTTTAAATTCACACGTTCTATATTCTATACAATCTCGTTCGCACTTGAAACAATGAATATGAGCTCATGAGCAAATGCATGAATATGTTTCTTATTACACAACAATGATGCTGAGTACTTTTTTATTTTTGAAATTTAATCTGTACGGGAATAACAGGACATGCACAAGATGAAATGTTTTTCATTAACTGGATTGAACAAATGATAATACTTATTGCATCTCGCATATTTAGTATGACACATATTCTCGTTGATGAAATTATCTTCTCAGGAATCTGGTAGGGTTCTACGTGAAGGAAAACTCAGCTTTATCTCAACAACTTTTCTACCATCGAACTCTTCATCATTTATAATTTCTCTATTACGTGAAATTGGGACCACGCAATGATATTCATCGACAAAGTCATATGACTGACCTGGCAAACTATTTATGGCACCATCTTCAAATTCAGGCATAATGATACGTTACTGGAGAGGATAACATCAGAACTGATGGAAAAATACTCTCTTCATTTTTTTTATACATTTTTGGAAACCATTCCTGCCCACCCTATAATCGAAATTCGCACCGGTAGATTGTGCATAGTGTCATGATATTATCGATGAGATCATTAGGGCTCGATAAACGAACTCATTGTTGTTGTTGCGATGAGATCATTGAGGCGTGGAAACAACGGATATTTTGTTATTGTTGTCTGCATAGTGACCGTGGTATTATGTTAATCGATGATCGAGCGTGGTGAACAAACACACCTAGCAAATCATTATTGAATTCATCACAACATACTGATGAGATCATGGCATAGGAAACGTAAACAGGGTGATTTCTGGACCAAAGACTGGCAACGAAAAATGTTACGAAAATTTAGGAACCAGGCACCCTAGATACATTCTGAGTTTTGCATGTCGTCGGGGTTCTTCAGTTCACCCACCAGGAGCTCTGCAACGTCGATCGCTACACTTGGAGGAACTCGATGACCGTTTGAGCCAGATTGAGCATAGAGCGCTCTGAGTCCAGAACTCTCCTGAATATTCTACTAGAGATGTATATGGAATCCTTCAGGAATATGAGAATAGCTTTCAACATATCATGCATTGAAGCTTTCTGCATAGTTCAGTGTTTCAGGATTGGGATCAACATGTAAATCAAACGATGACTGAAATTGACTGCGTGGTCAGTGTCCCTCACAATTAGGTGATCGAATCAAGTAGGTACATACATAAATATAAGCAGTATTATATGAAAGAATATGTTGTGTTGATCTACTACTGAAGATGCAAATATATCCAGCAGAAGACGTGTCGAGGCGTTCAAACAGTGGTTTGTTCAGTAGTAAAACACTGTAGAGTGAGTGAGGGCTGTGCTGGATATATTCATTGTTACATCCTAGCGACCTATCGAAACCGTTGATTAATGTGAATATTGATTAAATTCTATAATTTCAATGACCTTCGTAGATGACAATTTACCTCTTTGTCATGATACCTGTCGAATTCCATCTGGTGTTGGGTATTCAAACCACGTACTAGATCGTCGAAAAGGTTTTCATTCACTTCCAAACTCTCCGATCTGTGATACCAATCGCTCAATCTGAGACTGTTTTCGGTACTCCTGTCTTCTTTCATCAAGCTGGAAAAAGAAAGACGTCACACCAGTATACTTTTTCGATTCGAATTATAGTTTATTCTCAATCAACTATGCCCTCGATTAATCGAAAAAAAAAAATTAATTGTTTTCCATCCCATACATTTCATTATATTTATTCCGATAGTTCCTCTATAGATTCAACATACTAAATAATCAGAGCTACCCGACCTGTTTAATCCACAGAGTGTTATGGCGACAAAAGCCTATAGGAGAATTTCCTCTCACCAAAATATAAAAAAAAGGTTATGTGAACATGATTCAAAAAAATTACCATTTCCATATTTTCGAAAAATAGATTCTCATTATTATATCTTGAAGAAATATTTCTCATGAGATTGAAAAATCGAATACATTCGAGAGACGGTATTGAATTTCAAGTCTTTTTGTTTTCATAAATAATAATGTGCAATAATTGTTCAGATAAAATCTAACATTTTTTATTTTTTCTCATGGTGTTCAGATATACGCCAAGGTATGGTAACTCACATTCCTTCAGAGATCGAAGCAAGAAACGAAAAAATAGTCAGAGACAGAAATGTTGTATTTTTAGTGGATTCATCTGAATATTGGAGAAGAACCAGAAAAAGACAGTCTAACATTTATACTACAAAAAAAGCCGACTTGGTCGATAGTTACGCCCCAAGAAATTCTGGATCAAATATAATTGGTTCATGGTGGAAAAACTATAAAAATGTCATCTGAAGCGAATAAAGCGTTTCCAAGATATCGATAAAAAAAACAATTTTTTTTGTTGAATTTGGACACCCTGTTTTTCAGAAATGAAGCATTGCCAGGTCCATGTACCTGTATGAACTTTTGTTGCATATTGTGTTGAGAGGAATGTTTCGCAAGTTTTTGTCACCACAACTCTGAAACACCCTGTATAGATGTATAGATTGATGATGAAAGCAGAACTGTCTTGAGCAAACTAGAAAGAAATTATTGGACATAGCCCTCACGAAGAGTTAACCGCAGACACATGTTTCGGATTTTCGGCCCCCATCAGTACGGTGAAAAAAGTGCAAAAGCTTGGCAACACTTGATGGAACTAGGAAAAAACGAAGTGAACGAACAGAAGCCAACCGCACAATTGTGTTTTGGCCAGCATACCCTGCATTTTCAGAGCTACAACTAACGTCCCCACGGTGGTAGCTATAAAGGTAGCTATAATATGTGCGGCTAGCTCCTGTTTGTTGAGTCCGTTATTTTGTTGTTTCGTCTCCTATTAAGTGTTGCCTCTCTTTCGCACCTGTACCGTACTGGACTGATGAGGGCCGAAAGCCCGAATCGATCTTCATGAGGGCTATGTCTACTGAGGTATAGATGACTAGATTGAATGAACTACTTACTCCAAAGATCCTGCCACAGCAGTATGGAAATGCCTATAAGCTGCATTAGAGAATTCATTCAACACAGCTGGATTCACATTGTCCTGATAATCATCAATATAACCATGAGTATCATGAATAATCTGCTCTGAAATGAGTACTTTTCTTCCAAACAATTCTGGAAGCCATTCGTAATACATGATGTTCTGGTATGAACCTATGTTTATCTTTCTGGCTTCTTGAAATAATCTCTCGTCATTCCAATGTGGATTTACTTCCGATAGTCTCGAAGCTATTCTGTTATGTTCTCTGTAGAAAAGTACTTCCAGTGCTAGGAGTTGTGGATTTTGATTGAACCTATCATCAGCTGAAGCATAAATAGTTATCCATTATACAAGGGAAAAAAGTAGTTGATTTCAGTTCCATGGTGTGTTTTCTCCCAACGCGTAGCGGAGAGAGACGAAAAACCGTGAGCTGAAGTCAAATAGCTTGCCGTTGTGAATATATGTTAGCAACTATTGTATACATGGAGTAACCAGATCATTCGAAACTGAAACCATCAGAATCAATTCGATGTCTCTTAGCACTTTGGACAACGATTTGTATCAGTTCTCGTGTAGTGACAGAAGAAGAATCTTGAAAAATTTATAGAATCCATATTTCCTGTCTTTTTAGGGGAAGTAGAAAACATCTACTTGTTTATTATTATGGTAAAAATAGATCAAGAGTGAATCATAGTCTCATTTTTTCGATTTTCAGTTCAAAAAGGTCGATGATTAGGAAACTGCCGACTATTAGGATGTTAACCTTAATCCTCGCTAAACGAACCTGTTCTGTCTTTTCACTAAACATTCGTATCCATATCAAATCTATACGTGGCATCCTAATTTTTGTTGAGCAGAAGACTAAAACTTCGATGTCATTCGTGGTCAAGTCACTGAATAGCAAAAAATCTGAAGTTTTCCTCGCATGCAGTGATAAATCTGTGCCCACCTGATGTTAGGTTTGATAATTGTTATTTTCATTTCATCATCTGAATAATCCGAAACTCACGAGTGTCGAATAAAGGAATATGATAATTGATTTTCAAGGTACTGACGTATAGAGTTTCACGTCTGCTTTTTTAATTTTATGTGTTCTAGTGTTGAAATAATGTCCTGGTTCGCGTAGCATGAAGTTGCGCAGTGAACAAAATGGAATAGCGAACATCACTATAATGGTACCGACATAGTAGGTGCGACTACTGGATCTTCAGCATTCTACTGTGGTTTGGTCTTCTAATCCTCAGAACCTGATTCACGTCAATTTCTCTTCCATTCGCAGTCGCCAAGGTCATTAGATGACGTTGCGATGACATTAAAAACTACAGAACAAAATCATAACTCCTAGTTTGGGTTGGAAGTGAATTATGTTCACCTGCTACCAATATGTAATGTGGAACATTACGACACTGAGTTAAGTATCGTAATGAGATACTTCACCGCACTAGTGATTTCAAATTTGATTTTCATTGAAAAAACAATAATTGATCATGAATATTTATTTTCGTACCTATCCCAGGATTTAGCAGGTACTAATGTATCGATTGCTGCATTCGCCGCATTTTTTATATCACAATCTGAACTTTCCTGATTCGATTTCATACCGATGATTTTTCTTTTCGAATTGAATTTATGCGTCAAAGTTGACAGTTCGCCGAATGAGTGACAACCAAGAACACAATAGATTCACGACAACCATACGCTCAACCCTTGCAACGCTTGCTTGTTACATATTCCTGATGAATCGACAGTTCAAGGAATATAGAATATTTGTGATTAAATAATTAGCTTTTTGGTAGAAGGTAAAGAATTGTACTATATTCGTATCGTGAACTCATATAACGATAATCGATGGGTTATCATATACTCGGCCTTCGGCCTCGTTTGACAAATTTTCTATCTCATATCGTAATATGAGTCTTTACGATACTCGTATAGTGATAGTATATTAAGTAATATGTGTTGTAAGAATCATATTACGCAAGAATGAAAAGTCATTCCATGAGTGCGTAATTGCATTAAAATACGCATTACGTACTATTCTTTACCTACTGCCATATAGTACATCGAAAAAGTTTGGACAAACAGTCTGAATTACAATTCTTAACAGTATTGTCATCCGCTGTTGACGGCGATACGATTACATCATTATATACTGGCGAAATAAACGGAAACTGTGCGATGTGCTAACTGTGCGTAAAGAGCTAGGTAATTGATATTCACCTACGGCCACTATAGGGAGTAGGCAGAAACACAGCCTCAGTAAGTAACTCTTTACGCACAGTATGCACATCGCACAGTTTCAGTTTATTCCGCCAGTATAGTTATGTCGCGTGATCGCCGTCAACAACGGATGACTTAAATGTCAAGAATTATAATTCAGACTATTTATTTTGTCCAATCTTCTTTGATTCACTATATGGCAGTAGGTGAAGTATAGTATGTAATGCGTGTTGTAATGCTTTGGTGGAATTACGCCCTTGCCACTCCACGGCTACGTACCTAACTTTTTCATTCGTGTGTAATATGCTTCTTACATCGGAAGAAAACTCTCAGTAATAATTACCATATATTTGTTAACGTTAGATTTGTTCATAATTAATTACCCATATTCATAATTATTAAAAATGCTTATTCATCAAAATCGTACCTGTTTCTATGCTTTATTTATTAACAATAAATGATTTATTACTGTCATATTTGTTCAGTGTGAACAGCATCATTCAATAATTAACAATTCATCTAGTACGCCGATATGTGTTTATTTATTATGATAAATTTGTTCTTTATAAATATACGTAATATAGAGGATAACAATGGATATTTCATTTTATTCTTCGTTTGGTAATTATAATAATTCATTTGGTAATGATTGAAAAACTGTCATGCGCGTGGGCCATCATTTTAGTTCAGCTCCCATCTTTTCTCGCGTGAGCATCTTATTGATATCGTTGCTAATTTTCATTTGATTTCGACCAACGCGAAAGTTATGAAGTGTGATGGTAATATTAATTCGATCCCTTATATTACAGTGTGGTTTTTTTTACACTTGGACATGCATATTTACGTCTACAATCAGCTTCTTGGGGTAGTTTTATGTAGGTACGACATCACACAGGAAAAAAATGGCAGACGACTATCAGTGCACCTAGTATACAACATTTAGTATGTTCTCAGAATAACAGTGGTGCATGTGGTGCTAATCAATCAATATTGGAACATTTCGAACGTAAGTAGGTGCGGCTGCCTATAGTAGTATGCATGATTATTTTCTGATATCATTCGCTTTGCATGAATTTGAAAGGAAGTACTATATTATTATGTATACATTGAAACGTGGGCATGCCATTATAGCTGAGAGCTGATGAGTTATAAGGTGATACCCTTGATCATATATATACTCAATGGTAATACGCAACCAACTCTGATCGAATAGTTTGATTATATACTTATATAAATAATATTCGTTAACTGTTACAAAATTTGTTATTGATATAAGGCTTAGAAACACCCCCTCGGGGTGATCCACGATTGGTGGTAATACATCAGGAAATTTTATGAAACAATCAGCAATTTTTCTGAAATGAAGACGAATTATATCAGCGAACATAATATTCATTTATTTATCAATAAAAAGTTTTTTCTCATGCTGTACCTACTCCATTATAAATGAATATTTGGTTATTGAAAACAAAGATTTTGAAGCAATAAATATCGTTTGGTGTGGGTGGAGAAATATATATTCTCAGATAATAAATGAATATTTTCATGAAATAATCATAATTTAACCATGCACAAGGCTTATTCATAGGGGTGTGGACAAATAATTCGTTTTTTCTCAACAAATGTTCAATAAACCATATTTCAATAACGGATTTGGTAACAGTTAATCATATTTATGTATTATAAATAAACCGTTCTTTCAGTGTACAACACATATAAAGTAATATACTATTTCCCGTAGTTTCTGAAGTCATCGCACCGTCATCTTATGACTCTGATGACAGCAAATAGTTTTCGAGATATGTATGTTTTTCTCGAAATAATTACCGCCGTATAAGTTCTCTAAAACTTTCGTATCCCACAATCCGTAAAACATCAGAACACTGTGTTTGTGTAAAAGTTAGCTGGTAGTCCAGGCGAAAACTTCATGATCCATGTCAATAACTTACTTGCATAGTAGCAGACATCATTTTTGACTGCGAACGGACAATCTTTTTGTTTATTCTTCGAGTTTGTGGGCCAAAACTGTCCATCCCTCATTTCTGTCGAGAGAAGTCCACCTTGGAATTTTCTGATCTGACTATTGACCTTCTCGTCATTGCCATAAATGAGTGACAAGTCTAAGTAAGAGGTCACTTGCGTCAACTGGAAACAATCTCCATGTTTATGAAGTTATATTTCGTCAAAAAGAGTTTGTCAGATCATTGAGAACAGACGCAGTAGCCCAATATCCTTTATAGGGAGATTTATGTTTTTACGGCTGTAATACAAAATGATCTTCCTTTTTTTCTTGAAGGTATTTGGTTTGTCATCTATTTCATCTCCGTATCTGATAATACAATGACTCTATTTCCAATAATGGTTTGGGAATATTTCACCAATGTTATCGAGACGATATTGGATCATTCTGATTCATGATATTTCACCCACATTTTGGAACTCATATTGTACCAATATCGTCGAATTTCCACATTTTGTTTCTCGCCAATATTACGATCATAACATTTCACCGATATTTCCGCAATATTGCTCCGAAATTCTCTCAATATACGTGTGCTACTTGGGATCATATTATATTGGAATTGAATTATCAAATTGTGATAAAGTGATAATGAAATGTGAATTTATTCAATTCTTGAAAAATCATGGTGAAATATGAAAATATTAATCATCCAAGCATTATATTCATGAGTATCCCTAATAACACACTTATGTCCCATGGATATCCTTAGGACGTCCTGTCGGGACATTCAGGACGTCCATAGGACGTCCGAATTTGGTACCGTGGACGTCCATTGGACGTCTGTGAGACGCACAAATGTCCCACTTGCGGACCAACTTGGGACGTCCTGCAGAAATGTCCCTGGGACAACTATCGAATACCTGAATCCTACAGTATTCCTCATCAAGCACTACAGAGGACATCCTTAGGATATCCATAGGACAACCTATCAGCAACGCTGAGGGATATCAATTGGATGTCCATAGGATGTCCCAGGGACGTACGAATTATTCTTGATTCGGATTTTCCTAGGCCCCTCTAGGACCAGATCGTGCATTACTGATTAGGACATCCAGTTGAGTTGATGGTCCGTAGAAGGTCCCTAAAAAGTGTCCCAAGGATGTCCAATGGACTTACGTGAAGGACATTGACGAGGAGTACTCATAGCCTACGATCAATCATTCGTCGGCGAGGTGTAAGTCAACGTCCTCGCAGGGACAACATATTGAAAGTACCGACTGGGACGTCCATAGGACGTTATTTCTAGGACATTGGAAAAGTACCGTTCATGTACCAATTGGGACATCCGACGGATGTCCCTAACGGACATTCATAGGATGTCCCTAAGGGACATTTCGATTGTTACGCGATCCTGAAAATATTAGGGGCGTCTGTGCAGAGATATTTGAAGGAATGTACCATCAGCCCTAACAACACGAGTACATCCTAGGGAATTCCCAGGGACGTCCCTAATTTCAAATGAGGACATCCCAGGGATATCTTTTCTGGGACAAAGTACATACTAGGGACGTCCCAGGGACATCCGCTCTCAGACAAAAAGGACATCCAAGAAATGTCCCTCCTGGTACGTCCCTGGGATATACCGAGTACAAAGAAGGGATATCCCTAGGACGTACCAAGGATATCCCAGGGACATCCCTTCGACAAAAGAAAAAAAATGTAGGTCTAGTTGGGATTGAACCCGGGACCTTCAGCTTATCAGGCACGCACCTTACTCCATTGGCCAATATGCCTTCTGAAGATTCATGTATTGAACAGATTTATAAACCGGACAACTACAGAAACCTGGATAAATAAAACTGTCAGGATTCGGGTATAATTATTATCATTCTTGGGTGTTTGAAAATGAGGGGCATTATGCATTTACGATCTCTGTTTGCGAAAAATGGTCATTTCTTGAGAAGTTTTGAGACTATATTCTTTATTTTCTTCACAATTATTTTCCGGAAGAAATACATTTTCGAAAAAATTCGACTCAATATTTTGATGATATTGAATGACTCTCTGATGTGAAGAATGGATATCAGATATTCCAGGAACACGAATGGGATAACCTAGGGATGTACCGGGTGGGATGTCCACTGGACAACTACTGGCGGGACATCCCCTGGATGTCCCAATCATTTCCTTGTACCGCGGGACAAAAAAGGGACGCACCTAGGACATCCCTGTGTTGTTAGGGAGGGACATTCCATGATTATCTAGAAGGGACATTATATAAGATCTGAAGACATGCTAGAATATGTACTACTCGGGACATTCGATGGATGTCCCTAAAGGAACGTTCATAATCATATCCCATCAGGGACATGCCAAGGACGTCCTTGCATGGACATTCTACAATATATACCACGTGGGACGTCTAAAGGATGCTATTCCTAGGACATTCGAAATGATGTACCAGCTGGGACATTCCGTGGACGTCCTTGCTCGGACATTGCATGAGATGTACGGGATGGAACGTACCAAGGACACTTATTTATGGTTCGGAACATTCGGACGTGAATTGTACCAAATAGAGACGTCCCTAGGACGTTGTGTGCTATTAGGGATCTGGTCATTTCGATGTGGATTTCACCACAGCTATAAGGATTTTTTGAAGAGATGAATTCGATTATAGAAAAAAAAAAACTATATGCTGGTGCCTATTCAATTCAGGAATCTTTTGAACGTTATAAAATGTTTCATAACAGAGATAACAGCTAATGGACTCCTGAATATACACTTTTCAGTCACGTTCGAGTTTCCTGTAGGCGTATTGGCATCTTACTGAAAATATATTTGACCCAACAAAAACAAGGTAAAGCATTTCGTTCGCGTAGGTAGGTATAAGTTCGCTTCAGAACAGAAATTAAACTACTTACCTGTTCAGCTGGTTTCGTCTCAGAGATTTTGCAGCCCCTGTCTAAGTCTGTCGTTGTTCTGAGCAATGCTAGGCAATGTATTTTCGCCTGTGAATAATCAGGATCATCATCTGACACAGATATTGGAGCACAGCCTTGGGGCATTGTGGAGGCATTCAACATTTGTCCTTCAGGGGAACAACATATGCTCTGACTGCCACCTAGAAGAAACCAGATATTTTTGAAACTTATTGTACTACTGTCCGTATGGACTATCACATCCTATAGGTAGGAATAGATGCATCACGACGATTTCATGAAATTTTTATATAATTATTGTATGATACATATAGTGTACTCAGGGGAAAGACATATCATGTTGCTTACGAACTAATGAAGCCGTTCAGTCAGAATCATCCGTATTCAGGATGTGACAAAGTGTATCGTCCACTCCTGTAACTTGTGTATTCGTTTTTTTCCGAAATTTGGTGAATACTCATATGAAAACAACAATTTCTCATTTCTCTGGAAATGTCAGCTAATTTGTTTCTGCAAATAGAACAGCCTGTATATTTTCACATTTTCAAGTTCAACAAGTCGAGATAAGTGCAATCTTTCATATCGTCCATTTTTTCGAAAAAAATGTAATTGAAATTGTTTTTCCATTTCACCTCGTGGATTAGGTAATGAGATGTGGTCAAGGCAATTCACAACGAGTCGCATATAATACAGGGTTCATAGACCCAACAGAACTAAGAATCTAACTACGAACAGCTATGAACATAAACAGTTGACTACAAGAAAACATCAATAAGGGGTTAATGAATTTACCTACATCTTTCATGTGAATTAAGATTCAAGAATTATTATGAAGTTGGCCGACTTTCAACATAAAAACGAAGAATTGGGACATTCTGGAGACAGAACATGAAGATTGGATTAGTTATTGTTCAAGTGGAGTTTGGTGATATATAATCGAAATATTTTTAATGGATCAATGAAATGTGGAGACCAAAATCTCAAGAATATAATTCTGATCTTCGAACAGAAGACATTTTACATTTGATTCTTCATTTCAGATATGTATGAACACCCTCATCATTATGAATTGTTGATTGTTAATCGTTGATTCCTGATTGTAAGTTCAATTGAATCTATAAATATAATTCTTCAACAATTAGTTCACAGGATTCAGAAATGTTTTGTTCCAGAGCTAACTTAGATGAAAATATATTCGAACTTCATGAACTAGTTGTTGATTCTTTAATGCATACAATTTGTGACTGCACCAACATACAAAAATGATAAGTAATATTTTACCTCATTGTTTGTTCTAGAGAAAGGCGGCCCACCGAATTTCTGATCATAATGTAACTGAATTAAGAAGATCCTGGACCACTTCTCATTCATCCACGAGGTGAATTAAAATCAAAACAATTTCAGTTGAAACTTTTTGTAAAAAGTTACTTTTGATATGAAAATTGCACTTTTTTGGCCTGTTGAACAGGGCATTTCTGTGAAAAAATAAAGTTGCTGGCATATCTAGAAAATCCGGAAGTCCACCATATTGAATTGGAATGTGATCAAATCTGAAATGGTTGCATATATGACTGTACCAAAATCAAAAAGAATTCGTCAACGAATGCAGAAGCTTTAGGGGTTTCATGATATCATTTGACACCTGGTTCACTTTGGAATGAAGAATGATTATTTTCGCAATAGCACATTCGAATCAACATTGGCCTTTCGAAAAACTCACAGACATAAAACTACAAACTGATTGTCTGACAAATGAAATGCGGCGTCACAGCTACCAGAGTCAGAATTTTGTGAAATTATTCAAAGCGAAAAAGAATCAGTCCAGAACTTCATCAGGTGAGTCAAACGAGTTGTGAATTCTGCACAAACACAAAATTGGTTATTGATGATTGATACATTACATGGAACTTACCTAGGACTGTCAAGCTCAAATCATGACTGATGAATTGACCGAACTGCATCGTGTTTAATGTCAAGAATCTGTCTGTTATATTCACCTCTGGAAACAATGATGTCGATATTTCTCTGGCTCCAGGCAGAGGTTTTCCACTTTTTGCTACTGGTAAAGTGCTGATACCTGAAAAATTTGGCCCTCATTGCTTTTTCATTCAAATAATTAGGGATTACTATGATAAGTATGATACTATGATGAACTTTCCAGTATCGATGTTTTCTTAGCAGCACGCAGCCATTTCATGTATACTTAACACCTAAAGTAGAGAAATAAAACTGTTTACTGCTAGAGTTACCCATTTAAGTCACACGCACTCTTGCTCAACTTTGTCTCTGTAATAAGTTTCGTTAGGAATTTACTCACAGCAACAGTCTATACATAATTGACCCAAACAACATTTGTACAATTTGTAACAGAAATGGGAATGGAACGCTATTACATAATATACTGTTCGGGTGCCCTATTTACAACGTAATGAAACCTAAAGCTGATTGTCTAACGGATCTCCAATCACTTGCGTCAACGCTAAAAAAGATATAATTATGGAAAATACTGAAATAATTTGTGATTACGTTTATGATATTCTGGAACTTCGATCATTTATTTTGAGTAAATAACAATAAACAAAGTTGTGTCTTCTGTCGATATTAGTATAGGTACTTAAAGCTTCAAGGATCACTTCAAACTAAAATTCATGTACGCAGCCAACCTCTTGCTGTTACTTTTTGTTTCGAAGCAATAAAACTATTATTATTATTTATTATCATCATTCCATTCAAATGATGAAACATATTATATTGAATTGTGAACCTAATTATTATAAGGAACCGACTCTTGAATTGGCAAAACAAACACATTGGCAAGTTGCATGCATTGCATTATGGGAATTTGATAACTTCACTGTGTCATTAGGAACCTAAGTTGAAATTTTTCACGCTCAAATAATAAGTCTTTGAATCGTTGAATTTCAGAGATCACTTCAAACGTAACGTCATAGCCGCCATTTCGCGATACGTCTAATAAATGGTGACGTCGATTTTTATGCTGTTCTATTATTGGTCAGAGTCCAGAGTCCTGTCGTTGAATAAAACATCATAAGAGGAATTCATGACATTATGATTCATTCTTGACTTTTTCAAGCAACCAGAATGTCCGAATATTTTTTGTTCTCCATAAAATGTACCATGTGAATGTTGTAGACTTGGCAACATTGTGCTGAATACTGAGAACTGACAAGGCCACGCCCACAGGTGGAGCGCGGAGTTGTCACGTTCACCGATTGAAATGTCTTCTAGTGTGAATTAATGAAATCATTATTTACACAAATTCATCATGAGCAATGAGCCACAAATCATAAGGGAACATTTTGAGATAATTGATTTTCTATTTTAAATTAGGAATATCAACAATACTCAATTGGAAATTCATGAATTATTGAATAACTAATATTTCTGAAGTTTTCAATCGTTATTTCAACACATGGCAAATGTGATATGGCCTGTCCCTACTTACGAAATCGTGACGTCAGTTTTTACTGGCGGTAAATTTCTAGCTTTTTGAAAATTACCGTGGCATCATTAATGACTTTGACAACTGAAAATCGACCAGAAAATTCCCAAAAACTATGAAATTTTTGTCAGTACAAGTCAATTTTCTTACAATAGCTTTTTGCTGGAAAAATATTTGAAAATATGGTACCTCTAGCCCGTTCTACGAAACTAGAATAAGCAAACTCAAATCAAACTTCTGTATTCTCAATATTCAAATATAGCTTTTTGAAAATTAGGGGATTTTATTGAATATTGATCATCCTAGTTCTTTTTGGTGGAAATCCATATAATTTCAAAGTTGATTGAGTTTTGTTGAATGAGTGATGATTCCACTCTCGAAGAAATTTCTTGCAAATAAATATTTTGCTAATGTAAGAGAATTAACTTCTTCTGCTGATTGAACCGTTGAAACTATTTCAGCCTAAGATCATTCATTCAGGATTTGAGGATTTTGATAAAAAACACATTATGGAAGATGTAATGAAATGCTTTATTCATACTTCATCAGTCTTGAAAAACCTAGAATCTATAATGATTAAAGATTAGAATCCTTTGGAATGTCACTGAAGGCATATCTACTTATAAGTGGTTTTAAAAATTGAATAACATAACAATAATGTTCTCATTAAGAACAAAAAAAGAACTTGAATTAAAAATGAAGATAGATTTTCCTGAAGTCCCATAAAAAAATTATGTTCACATAATGAAAACAGAACAATCTTAAATCTAAAAGGACGTTATCCCACAAACAATTATTATTTCACAAATCCAAACATTTTGAACTTGCTGTATTTTTTTATATATGGTTATGGTATGTTTCGACTTGCTCATCGGTCACCTTGCAAATTTACTCGAATTTGTGCTGTATACACCATACACACAACACACAACGACGCACAACTATGAGAAGTTCAGTTTGGAAAAAAACTATAACTACAAATAGGTACTACAACATGAACGAACATGCGTTTCACACGAACGTGGTCAAACCATGAACGTATTTGAACTGATTTACATGGTACCCAAATAGAACCTGAACAAAACAAAAACACCTTGTACACACGACACGCGACACTGCGACCGCTGACCGCGACTCTTCCTCTTTGCTGTAACAGTAACATACTGATACTGATACGATATACGCAGGGTTGGGATTTCGTTAGTGTCAGTTTGTACCAAAATGTAATAGAATGTAATAGATTTGTATCAATGCGCGGTAAATGTGAATTTACTTATGTTTGGAGATTCGTTGGTTACAATGTAAACCTATTGGGATATCGGACTGTCCAGGCAAAATGAAGAAAAAATGAAATACAACACAGACTCAATTCCACAATAAATAAAAACTGAAAATAAAATAGAAACTGAACAATCTTAAAGAATTAACCCATTCTCAAAAACTGTTTAGCTTCTATATGACAAAATAAATATTCTTTCTGCTACTAATAACATTGTGTTTCTAGTAATTATTACTTTTTGGGTTCAATTATATTTAACATTTTATACATTAAGGAAAAAATATATACAAAAAATAATAGCTGAGAAAAAGATGTGAATGAAAAAATCTCAAATTGATCTCCAAAAACAGAATAAGTTTCAGAATAAACATATGTTACTTGTTCATTTCCATCAATGTAGTGATAACGTAATAACTGCGACGCGATTGTAATAGAAATAATACAATTGAAACAACAATCCCAACCCTGGATATACGACGCACTCACACCCATGCACTGAGACACCAAAATGAAATGAACTAGTCTGGAGGATTGTTGTCTGAACTAAACGAGTGATGTCCGGTAGGTAACGATCTGCAGCAGTGGCACCTTTGGCAATAAATGAAATACGCACCAACCGACTTGCGATTTTGGCGCGTCCTAATCGCTTTCAGCTAAGTCTTTTGCTGGGATAGAATATAACTTCACTGTTATTGTGAAGAAAATATTGATGATGATAATTTCCTCTGCTAGGAAAGCACAGAGCCTCACATTTATTATAAAGAAATATTTATGAAAACTCCTGCACTACGACAGTAAGATATGTACCTATCTTAAAAAAGTACATTTTCGGGGTAGGAGAAATAATTCAATAGAATTGCAATTCTCCTACTATAGCATAGTTGTTTTCGGTGGCAGAAAATTTTTTCGGAGTACCAGTAACATGGTTTCAGTAAAGTGATTTTTTTCTGAGAGCAAAGCGACTACGATTGATACTTTTTTGGCTATAACAGGAGAAAAAAAGTCAGCGGAGTACTTTCTCCAGGGATTTTTTTCAGTGTGGGTTGAACTTGGAGGGCTGAGAATATGGGTTCCAAGTGTTTGATAAACTAGGGTACCATTGAGGAAAAAATGGAAGCACTTCAAAATTATAGATTATTTGACAAATTTTTCTAATCAGGATTCTGAGGGTAACATCTTCCCCTCCTAGAGGATTGCAGCAAGAGGGCTACTAACTGATTATTTCTAGTGGCTCCTTTGGAAATGCAGATGCTAGATTTTTCATATCATTCACCGAAAGGAAGAACTGAGGGTAGGAAGATTTCAAAATTTCCTGCCCTATATATGCCCCAGCTACTATTGATGAGGTTATCTTCGTCAGTTTTTGAGAAATAATAGATTTTTTCGGCATCAGCTGTAGAACTTCAGAAATCGCATATAGCATTGTCGTCTGGCATTCGAAAACTGTCGAAGATAACCACATTATTGAGTATATAAATGAACATTCATTTGAAATCAGGAAAAAAAGATCTATATACTAATTAGAAAAACAAGATATAGGATATTGCATTAATAAAATATTCCAGTTCATGAAATATACTGATAGATCTCATAACTGAGAGATCAAGGAAAAACAGAGTTGCCCCAATTGTCAGCAGGAGCGAGACAGTACTGTTTCGACCCACCAGGTCTCATCAGTCGCTCTCGGTCTGCTGACAACTGAGACAACTCTACACTTCGGGTATATCACCCATTCCGAAGACGCAGGGTATAACATAAAGTTATAGTCATGTTGTAGCCATCTAGTGGCAATAAAGCTCTAAGGTAGGATACAGAAATCGCGACACACACTGTATGGCGGTGCTATCTATAGTCACACGTACAGACCTTCACGTCTATACGCTACAGAGTGGTCCTACAAGTAAACCACTCTGCTGACACCTGGTGGGTCGAAACAGTACTGTCTTGCTCCTGCTGACAAATGGGGCAACTCTGTTCATCCTAGATCTCTTAGTTATGAGATCTATCAGTTGAATAGGTGGTGGAAAAAATCCACTAAAGTATGTCAGGTAGCGTATAGACGTAAGGGTCTGTACGTGTGACTATAGATAGCAGCGCCATACAGTGTGTGTCGCGATTTCTGTATCCTACCTAAGAGCTTTATTGCCACTAGATGGCTACAACATGACTATAACTTCATGTTATACCCTGCGTCATGAAATATATTTGGGTTCACGATTCTTTTTTGCATATCGTAGCACTGAATTCTGAATGCTTGCTGGTATCATATTCCCAAAGATGTGCTTGGTGAATAGTTTTATGAAGCTGTTTTCAGTAATGTGAGAGCAGAGAGAAGACAAAATCTGAATGAATACCAGTTAAGCTGTTGTATTGACTTACCGTCACCATATTTAGCTGGCAAAATCCTTCCATATCTTGTGTACGGCAACCCCCAGGAGGGATTGTCCAGATTGTTGCAGGAACCATCTAGAGATCTATACGGGGTGTCTTCGCAACTCGTAGGACCAGTCACGCATGAATCATCACCAACGACACCAGAAATGAGGAAAATGGAGAACCAGATGGATAGTAGTAGCATTCTGATGGGGCTTTATTGTTATCTCTTCTCCACAAATCTGTATCAAACGTATCGATTTTGTGAACATTTATACACCAACTGGCAAAAAATAGTCATCAAAAAAATTTGCCAGATTAATCGCCCTAGAACTCTATCAATACTTGTCTAAATCTGAAATTTCCACCAAATCATTGATTCATGTTCCGAAGTATCAGCCTGAATTTCAATTCATCAAAATAGCTGAAGGGTTGAATGATACATGATACAGGGAAAAAGACATCATGCTTCCACCGTTTCTGATTGAACAATACAAAACCATTCTTCAATCTCCTGCTTCCTCAAGTTTTCATTGGAGTTTGATCCGTTTCCTGTTTTTCTTATCACGAAGGTTTTTTATTTGAGTTGATATATTCTTATCGAGAAAAGATACGAGTGTTAAGAGGTATATATAGGTTTTTTTAATCTTCATCATCAACCATAATTCGCCATACCGGTTGACACAGAATCATGGTATATCTCCCTTCTCTCCCTTTTTTCCTAGCTATATTTCTGAAATTTGAAACATCGGATATGCTCACTAGAGGGTACTTCCCCATATTTCAGGAATTATTTTTCGTCTTTCGTTTTTTCTTGAATTATCATCAACTATTACAAAGAATTCGGCGATACCATCAGATTGAATTGGGTTATTCCAAACGATTACGAAGATATTCGCATTCGAAGTTTCCATGCTAAATAGGTTTGACTTCGCAATATCGAAACGTCTTTCTTTGTAACTCTCTACTCTCATTGAGCTTATGGAAATTTCGAACGCGAATATGTTCGTAATCATTTGAAATAACCCAATCAAACCCGGTTTTGTTGAATTCGTTATAAAAATCTTCAACTGATTATGGAACTGAATACACATTCAGGGTTTCATTTGGGAATCGAAAATTGATTTCCAGAATAACCGGAACATGGAAAAAAGTCATAAAATGTGAGAAAGTGCCCTCTGGAGGGTACATTCGGTATTCTAAATTCAAGAAATATAGCTAGAAAATCAAAGGGAAAAAGAGTCTGTGTCACCCAGTATAGAGCATCTTTGGGATGAATTCCAACTGTGTTTCAGCCTTGTCATCAAGTAAACACAAACGTTCCTGAGATGTCACATTCATGTCTAAGATGAGATAAGATAAGATCATTATTTTCCAGTAGACAACAAAACATTGTATAAGAATATTCAAAATATAATCAGAACTAAAAACTAAATCTAAGTAGGTACCTACACAATTGACTTATAAATTTAGAATTTGACAATTCAATATATTTTTCAATACAAATAAGATGTGATTAGATATCAGAATATAATATTCACATAAAAGAGTGGAGATGAACATTTACAAACGGAGAAGTTCTCAAGACATAAACTCTTCAACGTTATACAAAGATTTTTTCATTGAATATTCACGAACTTTCTCTTTCGATATATTTCTATCTTCACATTCTTCAATCAAGTTTGTCAATTCATCGAATTCTCTTGGCGCCATGAAGAGAGGAGAGTTGAGAGATGCAATGTATTTATTAAAAGGTATATCAAGGTCATTTTTAGTTCTGGTATTGAGTTGATGTCTCTCCATTTGTAATAAAAAAAGAACCATTATTTTGAAATGAGTCTGAAGAGAGTTCAAAAATGAATAACGGAGGAACTCTATAATTCCGGAAAACATTTCTGCAACCAGTACGGACCGATATATTGACGAGTGAACGTGAAAATCGCTATTGAGCAATGATTACATCATGTGTAGATACAGATAAACCCCATAGACATATATCAAATCGCAATCTTCTATCAGAAGTTGAATAATTCCTAGTGGTTCTGAATGAATATGATAATGAATTTAGTTGGGATATCAGTGATTGACAATGATTTTTCCAGTGCATGCACAGATCAATTTGAAAACCTAGAAATGTTATACAGTTACTGTCACTGGAAACATTTGGTTTTGAAGAGCCGCATTTGAGCTGAATGCAATTTCTTCACATGATTTTTATCGGTTATGAAATCTCATTGATTTAGTCTTTGTCACATTGAGAAATAGCTGATTCGTAGAATCACCATTTATGTAGTCTGATGCCGATTTCGATAAATTACGCAAATCATTCATATATAGGATGTACAATAAAGGGCCTAAAACTGAGCCCTGGTGACACACCAATGTCAGTATTACTCATTTTGAATTCTGATTGTTAACAATTAGATATTGCTATTGTGTATAACTCGCAGGCTCGCAGGGAATGCTAATTTACCACTCGAATGATTGCAGCATTATTCGCCTACGGCTCAGGCTGCAAATTTCATTCTCGGGGAAAATCACTTTCATTCCGTCCACAGTCCACTCGCTCTTTCACTAGATGGCGATAACATGACTAGATCCTTTCGTCCGGAAGCGCTAAATGTCAGTTCAAACTGGCAATTATAGCTGAATGCCAGTTCAAACTGGCAATTATGGCTAATTGTGCATGCACAGATCAATTTGAAAACCTAGAAATGTTATACAGTTACTGTCACTGGAAACATTTGGTTTTGAAGAGCCGCATTCGAGCTGAATGCAATTTCTTCACATAATTTTTATCGGTTATGAAATCTCATTGATTTAGTCTTTGTCACATTGAGAAATAGCTGATTCGAAGAATCATCATTTATGTAGTCTGATGCCGATGTCGATAAATCACGCAAATCATTCATATATAGGATGTACAATGAAGGGCCTAAAACTGAGCCCTGTGACACACCAATGTCAGTATTACTCATTTTGAATTCTGATTGTTAACAATTAGATATTGCTTTCTATAGTTCGAATAGTTTGATATCTAATCCAATGGTGTACTTTGATACCATATTTATCTAACTTCCGAATTAAAATAGAATGATTGACACAATCGAACGCCCTACTCAGATCACAAAACATCCCCACAGGACATTCGCCCGCCTCAATAAATTTGACTATTTGATTATAGTATGAATGGCCCGCTGTTATGGTTGATCTCCCTTCAAGGAATCTATGTTGACTTCGAAAATATATTGAATTCATAACAAAATGATAAGAGTCTGTCCAGAACCGCGTATTCGAATACTTTTGGAAAACTTGATGGTACTGTTACTGGTCTATAGTTCTCAACTGAATGTCTATTCCTTTTCTTACACACTGGTGAATTTTTTCCTGATTTCAGCATATTTGGAAAAGGCAGTGCATAGAGTTCACCAAATATGTTTGAATGCGAATTACAAGAAAAAATCATTAGTATTGCCAGGTTACTTTTCATTTTACAAAACATTCGCAATATTTATCACATTCATTTGGATTCGGGTCTTGAAAAATAGGAGAATTTGTGAGGCTCCCTAACAACCAAGAAATTCTCTGGAAACTCGCATTCTTGTCTAATATATAAAGAAATACATCAAGAATTTGCATTATCCATGTGATGAAAATATTAATCCTTTCTTGGTTTATCCAACAGAAAACAACTACTTTCCTGGCTATATGCCACGACGAATATTGAATTACATCTATTAAACACACGATAAGAATTTGAGAACAAAATCTTCTGAAGTAGAGAATTTAAATACTCCTTTATATAAAGATATGCATATAATATCATTCTGAATATTCAACAGAACACAACTACTTTCCTGGCTATTTGCCACGTCGAACATTGAAATATGTCTGTTGAATATTCAAAAAGAGAGCATGAAGAATCAAAATTTTCTGAAATTGAGAATTGGCATTATCTCCCACATAGTATTATGTATTTCGATATTAAAATATAACTCACCAATATACGAAAGCGCTGAACGGGCATGATACTTTTTTTCTTATAATTGCCAGTTTAAACTGGCATTTAGCCAAAATTGCCAGTTTGATCTGGCAATTAGCTATAGTTGCCAGTTTGAACTGGCAATTAGCTATAATTGCCAGTTTGATCTGGCAATTAGCCATAAGTGCCAGTTTAAACTGGCATTTAGCCATAATTGCCACTTTGATCTGGCAATTAGCTATAATTGCCAGTTTGAACTGGCAATCAGCCATAATTACCAGTTTGAACTGGCATTTAGCCATAATTGCCAGTTTGATCTGGCAATCAGCTATAATTGCCAGTTCAATCTGGCAATTTTAGCTGAATGCCAGTTCAAACTGGCAATTTTAGCTAAATGCCAGTTCAAACTGGCAATTATGGGTAATTGCCAGTTCAAACTGGCAATTATAGGTAAATGCCAGTTCGAACTGGCAATTATAGCTGAATGCCAGTTCAAACTAGCAATTATGGGTAATTGCCAGTTCAAACTGGCAATTATAGCTAAATGCCAGTTCAAACTGGCAATTATAGCTAAATGCCAGTTCAAACTGGCAATTATGGCTAATTGCCAGTTCAAACTGGCAATTATGGCTAATTGCCAGATCAAACTGGCAATTATAGCTAATTGCCAGTTCAAACTGGCAATTATAGCTAAATGCCAGTTCAAACTGGCAATTATAAAAAAAAAGTATCATGTCCGTTCAGCGCTTTCGTACCAATATGTTCAGTATTGATATGAAAATTGAAATGTATAGGAGGAGTATATATACGTGTATGAACTCTGATCTTGATGAGCTTGAGACTTCCAAAAAAATCATTCGAATCAGTGATATGGGAATTATATCCTTCACAAACAGGTTATTATGACTTAACTCGAGTAAAACTCATTTCGGATATGCATATCAATCGTTTCGATGTTGAATGAAGAGGCGCTTAATGCGTACTGTGAGTTTAATTTGGCATTATAATTCGAATTATTATTTGATCAAAACGTTCCAGAATAGCAGTCATTGTGATTTCAGTAGAACTTTCATTTCGAGTCACGGATGTGACGTGTGGCATGAATGCGATGCCCTCATATCTCTGGGGATCAATCTGTGTTAACTGGTCAGAGAATCATCATGAGCTTTGATTCACCAGCAAAGGAGAATTCGAGGCAATAAAAGTTGATTTTACTTGTTAGTTAGTAAGGTTTATCACGAAAGTTTACTAACATTATGAACATTATTTCGTTTTCAACCATAACATCTGATACATGTGTCTACACAGTGTCGAATGAAATTGAAAAAAAAACATATTTTCTTTGAATTCGATTGGATATGACGTATGCACTTCAATATTTCCACAATGCAAGTTGATTTTCATTCAGAGGAAGAAAGGAATTGATTTTGAATGTTAGTAATTGAGTTTTACTACTAAAATTTTGGGAACATTTGGAATATTATTTCGTTCTTAATCATAATATCTGATCTTTATGTCTACATAGTTTCAGATGGAACTTGAAAGAACATATATTCCCGATGAGTTTAGTTGAATATGAAGCACTTAATTTCCACAATGAAAGTTGATTCCACTTGTTGAAGGTTCATAACTCAGACTCCAGGAAATTTCAAAACATTGATTCGTTTTCAACCATTACATCTGATTAAACTTTGAAAACATATTTCCGACGAGTTTAATTGAATAACCATAGTCTTACAACAGAAGTTGATTCAACTTGTTAGTGACCAAGGATTAGTTCTAGAATTTCAAGAACAACAATAATATCAATTCGTTTTCTACCACAATAAAACTGAGTGACTTTTGCCAATAGAAATGAAGGCGCTACATTTTCGACATTTTTGAATATTATCATCCATTAATTGCATTAGGTTACTGGGAACTGACAAAATTACCGCGATAATAAGGTACTCGTAGCTTTATGCAACGTGAACGAAAGAAACTTCTAATTGATTGAAAATGAATATATAAAATTTTCAATAAAATTTTCAGGGAACAAAGACATATCGTCATCATTGCATGGTATAGTGTTTCGGAAAATCTGATGAAAGAGTTATAATTAATATCTGTAACTCTTTGATTGCCTTTATTTATTATACTGGATGTCCTGGATAGTGTAAAAAAGCTTTATACCATTAGGTACAATGAGTGATAGACAACATCTCTATGAAATGATTGTAGAAGATATAGGGCTACATGCACAAATTATGATTATTTTTTATTGGAACACCCAGTGTTTTTCGAGAATTTCGAATTATCTTCATCATGTCTACACTGAGGGAAAAAAATTGTAGCCGTTACTAAAAAATTAGTAACTACAGAAAACATTTTTAGTACGATAGGGGACAGCAAGCATTAGTTGTTGCCATAACTAATTCTGTTTTTCTGGAAACGCCTATTTGCCTCAAATGAAAAGTTTAGTTGAGTCATCTACGACGTTGTTGTGGTAACTAATAAGCCTTTTCAAGGAATAATACCAAGTTTTATTTGCCACAATCAAGATACATAGTTATGACAATTAGATTGTTAGTACTGTTTCAATATATGTTTGTTATCACAACAAATTATCCCAGTTGTGAGTGTGTTGTTGCAAATCAAATATTTAATTGTGACTGAAATGGAATCTAGTTACTATTAAAAGTGATTTAGTAACGTTTGAAATATAATTTAGTTATTCTGGCAACTTAATAGTTTTATATCGATTAAAATCAAGGCCTTATTCTAATAATAACAGTTTGTATGCCATTTTCCTTCCAATTTCCAATGGAATCGTGAACAGGAATACACCACACACCGTAAGTGCCACAGGCCACAGCTCAGCAAAAAGAGAGGGAATCATGAATTTACACCGTGTACACGTGACGTCGGTTGGACGTTTCTCACCGTCGCCCGTCGTAAACTGAACTGAATTGTGAATAGGTACCTAAACCTGATAACTAGTGACGCACAGATATCGATGGTAAACTGCAAGTGCAAGAAAACACAAAACAGTGATTTGAAAACACACAGAGCAGTGAACCAGCAAGAACACGACGCTCCCGGCGACACTAGACAATTATTTTATTTATTTTGTCTAAGCTTGCCGACCGTGCGATCTATCCACTATTAAGATACAAGTTCAAATGATGAAACAGAAAGACAAACAGATGCAAGATGCAATTTCTGCCGGTGGGTCCCGAAGAGACGCGAGGCAGTCCCGAACGACGCAGTACAACTAAAATTATTAGTTATGGCTAAAAAATCTCTGCTATGAATAATAATAAACCTTTTACGATAAATGTGTCATCAGTTGTGGCAAATAGTCAGCTGTTGTAAGTAACCCCAGAATGAGGTTTTTTAACCCCAATATGAAATTTTAATTGACTGAATAGACAACACTGTGATAATTCTGTCACAAATAGTATTTTTATTGATGACAAATAATTGGCGAAAAATAGAAAAGTCATTTGTAGGAAATAAGGATACGTTGTCATTGTTAATAAAATTCTAAATATTTTTAATTATCGGTACTAAAAAAATACCAACTAGACGTTTTAATTAACCAGTTTTTCTCAGTGTACATAACAGTTCTTCTTTCCTTTTGTGCTACTCCTCGAAGTAGTCATAATTGAGAGTTATCTTACAGGGTGATGCATGAAGAACTTTGAATAATTATTTTTCTGGAATATCCTCACTTTGCTATATCCTATGGAACGCCCTGTATATTCTTGTTCAGTACATGATAGCGAATATCAAAAGATTATCAAATATAATATGATAGTCCTTGAAATGATTATAATGGAATCTTTTTCAACTCACCTCAATCTTGACAAGAAACTGTATATCAATTATCTCATAATATATATTATTAGACCTGAGTTTGCTTACTTCTGAATTACTTGATACACTCACACGAAATGAACTAATAACGATATTTCCGTGAAATGTCATCGCTTCACTTTTGAAAAGATAAGGGTTTGATATTATATATGATCATTATTGTTGAATAATTCACGGAATAATATACGAAATGAAAATATATGGATAATGATGACTATCCTCATTTGTGAAAGGTAGTTGCTATGTACCCTTGGAATTGTTAATAAATTGTTATTTGTTTTACTAGGCAGAAAAGCCCAAGAACGTATAGCCGAGGCTAGGAAACCAGCCAAGGAATTGAATCTGCTTTTCTGTCATCTGAAACATGTTTTTCTTTTCAATTTCACGCAGAGTCCGAATAATCCTGTATTATGTGTTCAACCAATGGCATTGTCAATCTCGATCACCAATAGACCATTTTACGCTAAGCGCTGCTCTTGACATATTGGATATTATCATTATTTTTTTCTGTGTATTGGCAGCATTCACGATTCTGTCATTTCACAAAATGATCGAATTTTGTCACGGTCAGTGCTGTTATGTCAAGAAAATGTCAGTTCAGAATGAAATCAGAAATTTCGATTTTTTGTTGAAATTGAGAAAAAATAAAAGAGGAAGGAGAGACCCGATATAAATGTGATAAACGAATGAGAAGATACTTCCGAAATGAGCTGGAAAGTATCATTTCATGAGCTTCCAAGGAACATCCAGAAAAGGAGGAAATGGATAAAAAATATTGGGGAATCGGGCAAACGTTTAAATGAAATCATGCCGCGTACAAACACGAATGAGTTTTCATCGTACTTGTTTGAATTCAACTTGTTTTCATCTATATCAGTAATATTTTAAGATGGGCTTTTTCGGGATATCGCACGGAAACAGCGCACGGGAATACTTTGAGAATAACCATGGAACGAATCATACATGCCAAACACTGTATTGTCAGCATTGTTTATTCTCTGTCAATCAAATTTATGCCGACAAAATGAACTCTGAAGACAATCCCGACATTTCCTATAATATCCTAGAGCAAGCGGTACAAGCGTAAAACCAGTAAAATCCAGGTCTAGTGGTTCCAAGATGTTTCATTCCTACTGTGAAAATTAAGTTGTTTCAAGTCTCTTCTATGTTTTTTTTATGTGATATTTTTTTCATTATATCCTCATTTTTTTCGAAGTGTGATAGAAATATTGTTCATCACTTGTCCAGAAATGATTTTTCTGTGCTTTCATGACTTCCATCCCCATTCCAATGTATTTTAGATAAAACATTATCACACAAGAAGGCCAAGCATTTTTTATTTCTCATGTATGGTCAAGAAACACTGACATACTATATTCGAACAAAATGTTGATTCATGTTGTGAATATTCATGTTGTGTTCCATATAGTATTTGATGGGGATATTCTTAACTTTTTTTGACTAGAACATCTTATCTCCTTCTGTATAGCATCGGAAGGATTCATTTCGTCGTGTCAAATATTTCTTCATATGGTTATTATCTGTGAAACTATCAACACCATTTTTCAACATTGTTTTTCACGAATCCTCTTCCACTCTATAGAAAAAAATGCGCACTCACATTCCGTCCAGTAGAAACCTCATATATTTTATTATCGATAGTTTATTTTATTTCGATGAAAGTACTGGGCATTGAACTAGACAAGAATTCAAATTTCGAAACACATTGTGAATCATTAACAGATAAACTCAAATCATTCTATTACTTGATATTCAATCTGAAGACTATTTTGATTCATGAACAATTGATGAACTTTCATAATGCACAGGTGAAATCTCGTTTGAGATATGGAATTAACTTCTGGGGCAATTCCATTCATTCTAAGAACATATTCATTGCACAAAAACGAATTGTAAGGTGCTTAACAGGAAAACCAAGACAACACTCTTGCAGAGATCTTTTCCAAACACTGAACATATTAACTCTGACTGGATTATTCATTTTCGAGATATGTTTATTCGTCCATAGAAATAGAGAAGTTACATCGAAAAATTATGATATGCACAATTTCAATACGAGACAAGAAAATAACTTGCGGATACCCTTTGCCAGATTGAATACCACCAGTTCATCGCCGAACTTTATTGGGCTAAGATTATTCAACAAATTACCTGAATCAATGAAAAAATGTGAAAAGGAAATAGAATTCAAGAAACATATCAAGATATTTTTAGGTGGCAAAGTTTTTTATTATGTGAACGAGTTTTTGTGTGCGTAATATTCCTATGTGTTATACACTCATTAGTATGTAAGTTTTCTGGTTTTTTTCTTTTTCAGTTCGTAAGTTTCATAGTTCCCTAGTATATTTTACTATTCTTATACAATGTATGTTGTCAGTTATGGGAAATAAATGATTCGATTGATTGATTGATTGGCCATGTTCTTTGAACATTATAGAGATTTCCTTTCATGCGCTCCAAGCGATAAGAAAAATCAAAACTAAGATCAGAACTAGATATCAATTCTGAATTTCCGATTCGACGTGTACTGTAAGAATCACAATTCATTTTCAATTTTGTGCATGACATTTTGTCAGTGTTGCCAATGGAAAAACATTTAATTTGATATCCCGAATGAGTTCCACTTGGGCCACATTCTGCGTAAAATGGTCTATTCGACGCAGATACAACTTGGAACGATGTATTGCTACAAATTTTTTTGCCTAGGCAGTACTTCTCCAGCCTAGGTAATATAAGTTAACCATTTTTGTTACTTATATGTTATATAATACAGTTTCAATGTGATTAATTTTTATTCCCTAAAGTGACAAACAAGATAACAATGACAATTTCTAGATGAAACTAACTGTCATCATCCTAACTATCAATGAAGGTTGAAATACAGTACGTATATACTACATCTCCCCCTTCAAGTACTAGGAAGGTCAGTCAGGTAGAAGATGAAGAAATTCGATTCGACCGCTGCCACCATGTTATGTGTTATATAATACAGTTTCAATATGTGATAACTTTTTATTCCCAGAAGTGGCAAACAAGATAACAATGACAATTTCTAGATGAAACCAACTGTCATCGTCTTAATAACCATCAATGAAGGTCAATATACAGTACTTATATACTACAATTTCTGCATATTGAGTGTCGTTATAAATCCACTTCTGATGCATTGTATGTTGTTAAGAATTGTGATTTACGTAAGTTTGGCAGAAATATGACGATCAAAATTGAAGCAAATTTGTTACAAGAAATGCAAATGTTTTTCTCTCACCAATATCTGAAATGTGTGAGCTTTCATCAGAAATAAGACACTTCAATGATTCTTTCTACAAAAACTCACTGGCATGATTCCGAATTGAAACAATTGTTTCTATTTTTATTTGCCAATTAAATATTATCTCACCACTCCATCACGAATTCCTTGACACTTTCAGGTTTTTTGGTTTCACTCATACTATTATAGCTGCAAAAAAACATAAAATTGCCAACCCACATTTTGAATAATTGAGATAATATGTATCGTGATAATTTCGTTATTGCCTGGTAAGACATAATTTCGAATGTACATACAGGGTGCGTCAATTCAAATGGAAATTCACGATTTTCAATTCCAAGGGCAATCGGAAAATGTTCCTTACAATTGAATGTAGTCATTTTTCTGAAGTTTCATTATTTCAGTAATAAGAAGAAATTATAAATCTGATTTATGACCTATCTACTTGTAGAAACGAAACGATTCTAGAGTTCATACAGGCAACTATAGAATGTAGTATGCCAATAATGAAACCGAAATCATATGGTGAACATGAAAACATAATTGGTTAAGTAATCCAAAACACCTAATTATGTGAATGAATTATTTTTTTAATTTTTCGAACTAACGAATAAACACATATGATGGTTATTTAAATGACGAACGTTATCATGCAGTCAAAAAAATAATCTATTCGTGTATGAACATGTTCATTTGCTTATTCGATCTGAAAGGAGCAATGACATTCCTATAACGAAGAACTTTATTAGTATTTGAATGTACATAAATTTCTGTATTCTAATTCATTTTCGACTTGTGTTCTTGAATGGCATCGTTGATAGCATTGAGAAGGGGATATTTATTTCCGTATTTTCCACGGAAATCGTCTGTATCCAAGGACCACAACATTATTCCTCCCAAATTCAAGTCCAAGGCATACTGCGTCTGGAAAAAAATAGATATAGTCATCAATTCTTCGGTTATCATCTCCAGCAAGATATAAGAATTGTATATATATCGCAACTCTAGACATGGGAACCAACTCCACAGAAGTCGAAACTTGTGCGGGGTTAGGAAGTGCTGAACCTACAGCTCCGAATCAGAATCACATTTAGGGCGTCAAAGTATTTCCAGGATCCCAACCAAGGATCACACATTTTATTAAAAAATGTTCAAACGAAAGCCAGATTGGAACCGACCCCAGCAAACATCGAATCGCTGCAACATTCTGGCCCAATGCATAATCAGTCGGCAGAGTGCTGGCAATAGCTGAGCTGCAACGGGCGAACGTCGGCCCATTGTATGGTATATTGTTATCGTTCATTCATAATCCAGCCAGCACTGTACCAGTAGTATTGAATCGTGATACGTCGTCCTTCTACGTCAATCCGGCACTGGGCCAATAAAAGGCATCTGCGCTTTACCAGACTTCATCATATGATATTACCTATACATCAGCCCTCTTCTGTGTAATTTTGATAAAAACTAGTTATCTATACTTTATGATACTTCATCCGAATGCATTATACACTCACCGGCAAGAAACCGGCCCGCAAAATATCCCAACTAAATTGATCGCCCTGTTACTTTGAATCTTGACAGATTCAAGTAAAATCTTTGACCGAATAGTAGATTCATGCTCCTGTGTCTTAGCCAGAATTCGAATGAAGGTAATATATGATGAATTTATTATTATACAGAGAAAAACTGATGTGACTCGTCTATCATTAACTTCTCAACTGTCTGGATGTGGTCAAGGTCTATTATGTTCTGGAGTAGAATTTGAACCCTTCTTAAAATCCCAAAAC